AATTTACCTTTGCATTGTTTTCAAACTATGTGTGACCAATTGACATCTAAGGTTGTAATTGAAACAGTGAATTTTTTAAAATATGCCTTTCAAGGGAACAAAACGAGAGAAAAGAAGAAAATCTTATGTTGATAACCTTGAAAAGTCTTTGTCCCTACAGAAAGAGCATTGCTGCAAGAATAGAAATAAAGTTAGAAACAGTAATGGTGAATGAAAAGCCATGAGAAGGGTTTGGAGCCCAGTCACTGTCGAGACTCAGCAACAACAACAAAAAAAAAACTATGAGAAAAGTTAAAAAATTAGGAAGTAAGAATAGGAGCACCAAAAATAAGGAAACAAGGTAGGAATGGTCAGGATAACATTGCAATGCTTGGTGGTTTTTGACACAGTGCAACCTCAAAGTGGGTGTGTCCATCGTTCTGCCCATTCCTAATTCACATTCTACTTTGATACAATTATGGACTTGAATTGAGTTTTATCAATAGCTTATCCTTTCTAAAAGGCACAGTGGTATGTCTGCAGATGTATACCACTTGAACTCAGGTTTCGATATCTATGGTGGGCAGAGTACAGATAGCTCATGCGTAGCTTTGTGCTTAACTTCAAACAAACAAATCTTTCTAAATACTCAACAAAATTAAAAATTTCAAAAATCAGCAGTTTTGATAGTATTCTGTTGGCCCACTCCTTACCAGTCAGATAGCTATGATGTCTTCAATAAACGAAGTATGACTATTGGAGCTTCCTGTCTGACTTCCGACATTAAACACCCTTTTATGATGTCATACATTTCGTTAAAGTCACGCAGTTTGATTAGTACATGTATCTGTACTTACTTGCGGAAACAAAGTTTTCAACAGAGAAATTCAACTATATACACCTTTCATTTTGTTTGAACAATTACCAAGTTATGAAAAGTACACGAAGTAGGAATGGGCAGATTGATGACCACACCCACTTTGGGGTTGAAAGGTGTCAAAAACCACCAAGTGTTGTAATGTTATCCCGCCCGTTTCTACCTTGTTTCCTTACTTTTTGGTGCTCCCATTCCTACTTCCTATTTTTTTTATTTAAATATTTGTTATTTTTGCTTTATAGATTAATATTCATATTTTTACTATAGTAAATATGAGGTTAGAGAAATGAAAGAAAACATTACACAAGAAAAACTGGATGAAAATAAACTGTAGCTTTCAAGATATCTTTCTATAATGCCTCAAATGAGCAATGTTTTTCTTCACTAATTTGCCTCCTTTCCGTTATCAATACTTATTTAATCAATGCTGAAGGCTATGGAAAGTTTCGTGTTTGTCATATGATCTGAGATATGAATTACTAATCATTGTTTTTTCATTAAACTCTATTTTTATTTAAACTTGTATGTAGATTTTAAATTTAATATAGTAAAATATCGTTAAAAATGCATAAAATATTTATTATGTTTTCCGCGATAGTAACTTATTTCACCACAATATCAGTCATTACGGAACAAATAACTCTACAAGAGAAAAGGCTTAATGTCGATCTCCTGTATTTTCATAATGGTTGTAGTTTTTAGTTTGAATTTCGTGCAAAGCTACACGAGGGCTATCTGCGCTAGCCGTCCCTAATTTAGCAGCGAAAGACTAGAGGAAGGCACTTAGTCATCACCACCCACCGCCAACTCTTGTGCTACTCTTTGTCCAACGAATAGTGGGATTGGCCGTC